AGACAAGGTAAAATTTTACTAGTAATTGGACGAACCAAAGGTTAGTATTAACCGCCAAGATATTATGAAAAAAATAGTAAATTGGCTTTAAATGTATGCACTTTCATCATGGGTTGCATTTTAATGTCAAAGAGTCGATTTAATGTCACTTTATTGTAGTATCTGGTAACCCAATATTGTTGATCGTCGTGGTTTTGGTTTCAATCTTGAATAATAATCATTTTAACCAAAACAATTACAAATTTCTCGATGAGTACGTTATTACGTTTGAAGTGTAGACTCCCTTCGAGTTGATGTCGCACTTAGTCTGAATATACACTAAAGTATAATGTAATAAGGTAAACATACAATATTATGCACACAGAGCTACTGTTGGGCATAAAACTTTTGTAAGTTTAGTAGTTGACTCAGATTCGCCCGACCTGGGGTCTTCCAACCCTGAGAAAACTTTCAGGTGAGTATTTCCATATAATATATAAAGCAATGGAAATACCAAACTGAATCTTGACTTACTGTCGTGCGACCCTAAGTCGGGCGACCCTGAGTCAACTACTCAACTACTCAACTACTTAATGTGTACCACATTATAGTATAATTCAGTGTATATACGAGACATTGTACTACATTATCTTATGGGTCTAATAAGTAGGAAGTCTACACTTCAAACGTAATTACTAAAATAGTAATGAAAAAATTAAACATCGAGGCAATGCAATAGAAGCAACCCCAACCCCAACGACACCGCATGACACATCAAGCCAGGAAATTCAGGAGACGACTCAGGGTCGGTCAACTTAGAATCATCCGACCCCTAGTCAACTTACAGGTTGGTATATCCATAGCTGCATAATGTACAGTCCGGTGACATGATAACCAGAAGGACTCGTGCTAACGCGCTTCGCGCACACTTCGGCTTCACCTACCCCCCCCCCCCCCTTTGCGTAAAATGATGGATCAGCCGCTGAAAGTTTCTTACAAGTACAAAATTATAAAACTACTATAACACACATCATTTCACTTTCCTTTTAGCTACCATTAATCTTCATTATCTTTGATAAATGTGATAAGTCGAGTACATGTACAACATTTCGATTCATCTGGTGTTAAAGGCTTAAACAAATGTTCCCTTTTCGTCCTGGGAGTACTCAAATAACAAAGAAAAAATATGCATCATAGGATGTCTTTATATCAGGAAATATTTGTAGAAATTGAAACTAATTCTAGAGGCATTATTGTTTTAAAAACGATGTACTCACCTCCTTTAATCAATTATATACCTCACTTTAGAAATCCAGCCATCTGATTGGTCGAAATCGGAGTCGTGATTTTAGCCATTCCCGTAAAAAAACGTAAAATGCCCAAACTGGTCAATAGTCTTTTGAAAAACGCCCTAAGGCACTTTTCAAAAGACTATTGATTGGTGGGCGGGTATGAGTACTGCGATCCACTTTGGTTCATGTGTTAATTAACTTAGTTTGTACGGAGCGCGACTAATACATTTTTGCGCGATTAATTTGGTTGCTACAAACAAACTTTATTACCGTGATTGGTAAGTCGCACATGTATTCAATGACCCTTTTCGGTATATAAAAGTATAATGACTGCTTTAATATTCGAGACATATTTTTTTTAATAGGCTCTCGGGGAGGTCACATCGTGCTATCACCCCTCGGCACGCCTCGGGGCGATAGCACGATGTAACTTTCCCTTGAGCGTATAAAAACAACTATGTCTCTTATAGCAGTAATTATTACTATTTTAGAGATATGCGTGTGAGGTATTGTGAATGGATATTTGAGAGCGTGTTCACTCGTCACACAACATAACTCTTATTTTTATTTTAGCTACGAGGAAGCAAGGTTGCACTGACAATAAAATACATGAAAGAAAGTATTCCCTTTTCGTTAATTTATTGGGAACTGAACAAAGCTGACAATGCACCTGCAAAGTGCAGTCAAGCAAAAGTAGCAGACTTGAAAATGTGAATATTGCACGAAGATTACATAATGATTAAGGATGAGAATGAACATGAATAAATGCGATGTACATAATGAATGAAAGCTTACGACAGAATAGAAATGGCGTCGAAAGTCCAATGAAGATGAAGAGAGATGAAAACGAAGGAAGGGGCTCACGCGATGATGTGCGGAGGCTTGAAGGTGGAGATGCAGCTTCGTATTCGTGGCTGAAGAGCGGTGAAGGATCTCGACGCTGACGCTCGTGATAAAGATGTGGTTGAAGCTCTCAGGCGAGAAGAGAAGAGAAGAGAAGAGATGTGGCGCTCGACGACGAAGCAGTGAATCGCTTGATGTCGGAGGCCAAAGAAGAAAATGCAGACATCAAAGCCGGTAGTCACTATGAACATGACTGACAATGAGAGCGGACAAAATATACAGTTCCTCAGGTAGACAAAGGAACATCCCTTCACTGCTATTATGTAAAAATGTGTAGAACAGGTGTCACATGCATATTCACCTTTTTACATAATAGCTGTGAAGGGATGTTCCTTTGTCTACCTGAGGAACTGTATATTTTGTCCGCTCTCATTGTCAGTCATGTTCATAGTGAGTGGTGCTGAGCAGTGAGTCGCTCGATTGATGAGCCGAACTTTGATGATGAATGTTTAGATGAGCTGCGGTGAGTCGAGCTCATGTGAGTGAAAGACTACCGGTGAAGAAACTGGCAGCTCCCAGCGGATAACCAAGCACCATATATGTCGGAACTAGATTTAACTGTTCCACTGGAAGACTGCAGCCCGATGAACACGGCAGAGAAAGTGAAGATGTGCCGATAGAAGTGATAGGCACAGTAGAAACAAGCCCGAAGAAGAAATCATGCAGAAACGTGTTGACTCAACTGAGATGTAAGCAGGAGTTGTTGACTCGACCGAGGTGTAAGCGGGAGTGGAGAAAAACCTCGTGGAGTTGAAAATACGCGGGGGAACGATGCGCGGAACCACGATGCTCGATTGGAGGAATGAACACACGTGGTCCGAATAATGAATATAAATAAGTACCGTGATGGAAACATACTGGAGACATGAATGTACGGTGAAAGTAGGGCGAATGTAAGTAGGGCGAATGTAAGAGCCGCTACATTACTCCCCTGCCAGAATTGAAGCAGCTGTGTATGCAATACACAGATAAAAGGCGATAAAGATATAAATGAGCAAAGTACAAAATGTCACAAGAATCAATGGCTGATAAAAATGTAAAAGTGCATGTATTGTATAGTGTATGCAGTAATTTACAACAGCCTAAGAAATGTACAAGCATGGCATGTTGAAAGAATGTAATACAACAAGCATGGTATGCGAACGGCTGTTTAGTTGCCAAACATTGAACAGTGAGTATTGACATGGTATGCATCGAATAAACGCGTATAAATGCAAGAGCATAAAAAACATTCGATACAAAATCCAGAATGAATACATTTGATAAAACATTGCTAAGTCCAAAAAATCTGGGAATAATAAAATCGTACAACCAAGCTTCCAAGTAAACGAGGGGTCACCACTTTAGAGATAAAATTGGTGAATGTACTACATCATGACATAAAATGGGAAATGGACATTATTGAATGAAATGTAATGACATAATAAAAGCTTACGACATATATGAAATGGCGTCGAAAGTCCAATGAAGATGAAGAGAGATGAAAACGAAGGAAGGGGCTCACGCGATGATGTGCGGAGGCTTGAAGGTGGAGATGCAGCTTCGTATTCGTGGCTGAAGAGCGGTGGAGGATCTCGACGCTGACGCTCGTGATAAAGATGTGGTTGAAGCTCTCAGGCGAGAAGAGAAGAGAAGAGATGTGGCGCTCGACGACGAAGCAGTGAATCGCTTGATGTCGGAGGCCAAAGAAGAAAATGCAGACATCAAAGCCGGTAGTGGTGCTGAGCAGTGAGTCGCTCGATTGATGAGCCGAACTTTGATGATGAATGTTTAGATGAGCTGCGGTGAGTCGAGCTCATGTGAGTGAAAGACTACCGGTGAAGAAACTGGCAGCTCCCAGCGGATAACCAAGCACCATATATGTCGGAACTAGATTTAACTGTTCCACTGGAAGACTGCAGCCCGATGAACACGGCAGAGAAAGTGAAGATGTGCCGATAGAAGTGATAGGCACAGTAGAAACAAGCCCGAAGAAGAAATCATGCAGAAACGTGTTGACTCAACTGAGATGTAAGCAGGAGTTGTTGACTCGACCGAGGTGTAAGCGGGAGTGGAGAAAAACCTCGTGGAGTTGAAAATACGCGGGGGAACGATGCGCGGAACCACGATGCTCGATAGGAGGAATGAACACACGTGGTCCGAATAATGAATATAAATAAGTACCGTGATGGAAAAATACTGGAGACATGAATGTACGGTGAAAGTAGGGCGAATGTAAGTAGGGCGAATGTAAGAGCCGCTACACTATATTATAATTAAGTCTACATTATGAAGTTTCGGCGTGTGATTACCGTAATAATTTAGTATACAAATAGTGAATGGTTATGAGTTCAATAGTGCGAATATATGTCATGAGTTGAAAGATTAACATTCTACTCAACGAGGCGTCAGCCGAGTTGAATAGAATTAACGTTAATCTTTCAACGAATGAAAATATTTGCACTCTTGAACGAATGAAAAACATTCAATATTTGTTTTATACAACATCGAAGAAGATCTAATAGAACGTTAATCAACAAATTATACTCCTTATAAATAAATTAAAGTTGGAGTCATGCCTTCTCGGTTACATTCAGATTGCCTTCGCATCAGATACACGCAGGGATACGCGCACGGGAGAGAGGTACACAGTCCGCATATAACCACAAATGCACGGCGAATGTAACCAAAATGCACGCCCGTGCAATAGAACATCTATTGAATATCATGTGACCAACAATCCTCCAATCAAATGACAAGGATCCACGTAGGTGTTGTATCATACGGTTTATCTTATAATATCGCCGTGCGCATTCACACGTCTTACACTGATGATGAGACGAGCAACTCTGATCCGAGTAATCAAATTCTATTTCGACTGTGCATTCCAGTGTGAACAGGTGAAATCATTCGTAAGTAAAATTATTGCGATCTACATATTACCACTTACGATCGACTTGTAAACGCATTTTAGACATTTTGCGTAAAATGGAGATATATTTGGGGACGTTTTCAAACATTGATATGCTTGCGGATTTGAAGAAAGATTCTTATTTTAAAGGAACAAGAAATATCAGAAAAAGGTTGATATGTTTACGATGTTAGGAAATCGGGTACTTATTCTGAAAGTGTAATAGAAAAGTAGGAAATAGGATTATCAGAAAAAAAATCTCAATCCGTTTAGACAAAAAAAGGAGCATATTATATAGAAGGTGTTCTTCAAGTATGAAGAATAGAGGGTCATTTATACTCTGCTAAATGTCGTGCGTTAAATCTATGATTTTCAAATACAACTGGGAATTATTTCTCTGCGAGCGAAAATTTTACTGAGGATAGTTTTGTTGATGTTTATCTTTATATATTAGTTTTATTGATGTTTTTTTCCCAAAATTTACTGGATATAAACAAAATTTGACTGTGAATTACGATTTGGGATGTGATCGAAAGTTGTGTTGCAGTAGCATTTGTCATTTTTCATCTCGTTAATTTTAGTTTTTTAAAATCTGCAAACTGGTCAATCTAGTGCCAATTCACTGAGGTAGCTCATTGAGTAAATGAAGTGTTACAAATACCGTTACATTAAAAAGCATATATGTGTTACTTTCGTGGTTAGAAGGTGAACAAAGTCAGATTTAGGTAAATCATCTTGAGAACTCCAAACGTGGCTCATTATGATTGTTGGCCAGTGGATCAAAATCTTTTGTTAATAGAATATATTCGTTACAAAAACGTGCCACGGGAGTTAATGCCAATACACATTATAAAGTGTCTGTATCATTCCAGAACTTTAAAACAGAATTAAAAAAAAATCTTATTTTCAAATAATCAGTTCTCTTTATCTTAACACCAGCAATAGTAATATTCCAATGACCGCCCCTCCCTTGTTTACGATATTTGCAGTGTGATATCGTAAATATTCTTGGGATTTACCCTGACAAGCGATTTTGCTGCTGTATTTCCCCATCGGAATACAGGTTTACCATGTTTACTAATTATTTCTCCCTTCGTCCCTTAATCTTTTTTTGTTTTTTGTTGTATATATGTCTATTAAAGGTACTATGTCCCATTTGCAGTCTCCAAAAAATATGTTGAATTCCAATGGCATTTGAAAGACGATACTAATTTAGAACTTCCGTCTAAATGAAAGGGCTTTAAAATGGCTTTAATAGTGGGAAAATAACGACCATTAGTTGTCGAATCGACTGAAGTGATGGCAATTACCTAAGTAATAGTCTGATTTTCAGATCCTATTACCGAATGGTCGTACGTTTTGTGCTGCATAAAGATTCAATCAGTTTGATTTTGGCCATTACAAGTAGTGGGTAATTGTGGGTAATTTTGGGTTATTGGTGTACATGTAGACAACTGCTCATGCACCTGCTCATTTTATGTAAGTTATCACCATAGAAACAAAATAATATGTCAGACAGTCACTCAATAGTGTCTGACAGTGAAGTCGAGAAGGTAAACGGGTTTCCTCGCATTATTTTAATACTAGGACATTGCTAATGTTTAAATTTCACAGATAGGACATACATGACATATTCATAATTCATGCACAGTGCTACAGAATTTGATGTTGGCTGCGAGTATCTTTAAAGTATGTATTTCATAACGTACATTGTTTTGCATTGTTCATGTTTTTAAACTGGAATGTGTAAAATAAATGAATGAAATAAAAATATATGATTTGTATTCGTTATCTTCATTACAGCGCTCTTAACGTCTACACTTAAGATGGCATCTGTGACTTTACTCGTGTTATTGGCAGTACTCCACTTGTCTCATTTGGGTTCGACTGTGCATTGGCGGAGGAACCTGGGCTTCGATGACATACGTACATCAAATTTCCCCATGCGATATTCAGGCAAATCGGTACCCCAGTGTCAGGAAGACATCAAGAAAAGATTTGCTGACTGCGATAGACTGAACCTAACGAAAGTCCCAGATTGTCTGTCACCAGATGTTCAAAAGCTATGGCTGATGTATAATCGAATTTGGTATCTTTATAATTCCTCTTTTTTGAAATATCCCGAACTATCGACGTTAGTGTTATCAAATAATGATATTCATTTCATTGAATCAGGGACATTTCTTCCGCTCAAACATCTTCACTCTCTGAATATTAATGGAAATAGTTTGACGTCTTTCCCTGACAATATCACATATTCAGAGCAGTTTGTACGACTGAGAGATCTTCCGTTATCTCGTAACGAACTCACACATGTCAATATCGCATGTTCTTCAGGAAACCAATGGACAATGGAAACAATCTCTCTTGACGGAAACAATTTCCGGGAACTCACATCTGAGACGTTCAAGCTCAATTGCGACATTAACATTTTGGATTTGTCTAAAAATCCTGTAATTCGCATTGATCCAGAAACAATCGCATCTCTTCGTGTGCAGACATTGCGGTTTGGTCGGAAATCTGTAATATTAGAAGTGTGGACTGATTTGTTGATTGGGGTTGCCAGATCTCGAATCAAATGGCTGTATATAAAATATATAGACCAAGACATAATCACTGTCGATTTTTTTAGACCTCTTTATAACTCACGCCTCATATATTTGGAATTGAATTTCGTTCATTTAAATCTTCAGAACGCCACTCCTTTTTCAAATCTAAATCAACTTATAGAACTCACATTAGAGGGCACTATCCCTACTTTAGAACCAGAATATTTTTTAGGAATGAACAAACTTGAAATACTTCACTTGGAGCATAATCATATTAATCAAATCAATCCGAACAACTCTTTTTGGAGTACCCCACATGTGCGCGAGATATATTTGGGTTATAACGAATTAAAGTTTTTGTCACGCACTGCTTTTCAAGGTTTGGATAATCTATTTACATTAGACATAACCTTTAATACGAACTTTATGGAACTTGTAATTAATCAATATACAGGGGGACTCTTCAACCTTCGCTATCTAGTCGTATCAAACAATGTGATAAGAGACTTCTTGGTAGATGCCCCTTATTTAATATCCCTAACCTCTTCAGCTTCGGGAGACTATTTTAGATCGGGAATAACGTTCCAGGATACCCCTTCACTACAATGGTTGGATCTCTCTTATTCAAACATACATTCACAGCTTTTATGGAATTCATTAACATCCACATCACTCTTTGATGGTTTGGATAATCTAGCACATCTTGTATTGGAAGGTAATCCTATTTCCGAGCTGTTGCAAGGAATGTTTCGAGGGCTGTTTGCTTTAGAGTTTCTTGACCTCAGCGATTGCGAGGTCTCCAGCATACAATCGAATGTCTTCCGCGGCCTGAGTTCTCTCCGCACGCTTTCACTTGGAGGAAACAAACTTCAGAGGCTTCCTTTGAATCTGCTGACATTTGATAATAATACTTCCTTGAAAACGTTAGTTTTAGCTGGTAATAAATTTACATATTTCAATTACAGTACATTTGAACCCTTAATGTTTACAATGAATTTATCGATTGACATTTCCCAGAACGAATTGATATGTAACTGTGACATATCATGGCTGGTGAAGTGGCTAAACAGTAAAGTGAATGTCCTCAATGAAGACAATACAGTATGTTCTACAGCATCTGCAACGCTTAGTCCTCTTAGAGGCAAGCCGCTGTTAATCTTTATTCCTAGTGACTTGTGTGGTCCAAACATAGTCCTTATTTGCTCCTCCTCTATTGCGGTCATCGTGTTTGCGGCCACCTTGCTTTTAATATATCATTTTCGCTGGTTTGTGAGATACAAACTATATCTATTGAAGCTTGCTGTTATAGGATACAACGAAATTATAGATGCACGCGATCATGGAGACTTTGAATTTGATCTCAACATCATGTTCATGGAGGATGACGAACATTGGGTCCAGGAACACCTCAGACCAGTCCTTGAAGAAAGGCTTCCAAACTTCAACAGAAACGCAATTGGCGATGACGATCTCATCCCCGGAATGCACTACTTCGACGCGGTCTTTTACGTCATTGAGAAAAGCTTCAAGACTGTCCTGCTTCTCAGCCGAGCTGCGTTCCAGGACAACTGGTTCATGAAAAAATTCCGTATAGCCTTTGAACAGGTCAACGATGCGCGAATGGAAAACATCGTAGTGGTCTTTCTTGAGGACATTCAGGATGCAGAGCTCCCGTTCCTGGTGAGGCTGTACTTGAGTGAGCGCAGAACCTACCTCTGGTGGATGGAAGATGAGAGAGGCCAGGAGTACTTCTGGAACGAACTTATTCTGACTCTTCAAAGAGATAATGTGAGATGGAACATCATGGTCCCACCGGAGTAGGGAAGTGCTGTCGCAAGAATTCTTTCTTCGGAAGCGTCGTTTCTAGGATGCAGATGGCGGGGGAGGGGGGGGGGGGCGTAATAGGTGCCAAACATTAGAGATGGCTAATGGTAACATTTTAATTTTTAATTCTAGGTGTTCTTTCAACACATTTGTTTAACACAAATGTTTAATGAAAAAATGCAACTCGTATGATAAGTTTCACTTCTTGTTAGAGCTCATGTAGTGGATGCGTGTCTCAAAATTTAAGCCGATGATATATTTACATTAGAAAATTTGGTCATGTGAACGTCGTGGTCGGTAACGAATGATAGGTCTGAAGACCTTGGACTTGCCCGTATATATGCAGTACACATTCGTTCTGGGCATAAGAAGTAAACCACAAAACAAACACTTTGAATTGAAAGCTATAGATAAAGTGGGATTAATTTATATGTTTGATGCTTGAATGTAAATAGACACCTTATTTGAGACACACACGCACCAACAAAAACATTATACATATAATCGTTTTAGGACCATAACATTTCTGTACTGTCTGCATTTAAAGACTTTTTGTTGTTGTTGTTGAAATTGTAACATTGTAAATTAGCTTTATACATGTAGATATATAATCTTAGGTCGTGGTTTCGATTCCCGACACGGCACTAATTTCTTTTGGCAATGCATTAAAGCCATTAATCTACATTTACAAATCCATACCCAGGAGAGAAATGGGGCCTTGGTAGGATGACGAAAGCCTTTGTGTTAGTTATTGCCGTATGCCCTCACGGTGCCCATAACATGTACACGATTTCATTCGGGAAACTGTGTAACATTTATTTGTGTGGTTTTCTCCATGTAATATTCTACAGTCTGACCTTTCGTTTTATAATACTTTTGAATTAATTTCTGTATAGATAGGCCTAAGTACACTTGAGGTTTCGTTCAAAGGTGCTTTGCTAAATTCCTCGGATGACTATCAGCATTTTAACCAGGTGACTCTGGGTATTGGTGCTAATGCATTTGTATACAAATTTCCTTATTCCATTGTGTTTTAGATTCCCCCTCTAAATTACGTCTTTTTCTACGGCTACGGTTTTTCATGTACGATGTCTATTTTACCAGGAAACAATAATATACAAGCACTGTTTTTCAATAGGTTCCTCAAATTTTACTTAATCTATCAATGAATTAAGTATCATTGAGACGTGCTCATACTACATGTATATGTATAATTTCTATTTTATATGTCTGTCTATATTTTTTGTAAAATGTGAAACAAACAAATTTGAAACTTGAAACTTGGAATGGAGATGATGCACATTGTGCGTCAATGAATCCAATGACGGGGTACTCGTATGTGTAAAGAGCTTTGAGAAAGTATTTCGTAACAAGCGCTATATAAGTCCAGATTATTGTAATCATATCTATGATATACAATTTTTTGTTGGACAAGAATCCAATTTCACGAGAAGAGCACTTTATTTCTCACAATCATAATTGTATACATATTCTGAAATGTATTAAATGTGTTGAATATCATTTTCAGTCGTATTTATCTGCCAAGTGCAAGTGCTTTGATTTTGTGTAATAAAGACGGAAACAGAAAACGAGGAAAAAGATCAAGAGAGTGGGAAGAAGAAGGTAAATTTGAGAGTGAAAGAGAGAGAGAGAGAAGAGAGAATTCAACTTGATATTCTAATTTCATTACTATAAGTGTAATGCCTACAGAAATCATGTTTAGACTAGACAACGTTTACACCATGTTTCAGTTTCAGTTTATATTTTTTATTTCCGACAGTACAATGTAGTAAACAATCAGGACCAATTAACATTGATATAATGCTATTTTGCAAATCATCATTCGAATAACATTTCCTCACATACAATTTACATTAACATTTCAAAATGTGATGGATAAGACTCTTGAAATTCTGTGAATGTGATCTTTTTTTTTGGGGGGGGAATAATTGCGAGCGTTCTTCTGTGGCAATAAACCCGATATTGGTAAATAGACAAAACAAATTACTTAGTAGAGTAGATGGTCTATAAGGTTTGTAAATAATAATAATGATAATATCGGTTTCTTGCATATATAGTGATCTACTACTAAATGACCAAAGCGCTGGCAGTATTACTATTACCCCAGTCAGCTGGTCACTGAGTTAAATATCCATGTAGCCAGTATGCCCTAAAAAAGTGTTATATGGATAACACTCCGCGGCTACAAGACAAACTGAAGACAAGACAAACCTCTACATAATTATAGTGAACATTCCCTATATATAACAAACAAAAAGTTCCTCTCAAAATGGAGGAATTGCCATTGTTACGTGGCTTATACAGTGCGTCCCGAAAAAACTATACACTTTTGAAATGGCTGCCGAATAAAAAAATATATAATTCTGGGGGACTATTTTTATATGTATAGCAAGCCTATAAACTCAGCTTTCATATGACACCAAAATGTTTGAAAATAATTCATGCTTGGGTGAACACTGCTCACTTTTGTAAAGGGTATGAAAATTAGGTTGCGCAGGAATTAGCCTTCCAATTTGTGAGAGGTAAATCCTTTGGAGCTTACGGAATTGAGAATGATATGACCAATTTATGATCAATTGTGATGAGTTTGGGTTTGCTGAGTGAAATTTGTAGTTTATGGGATTAACATTTTATGCATGAGTGAACAGGAATTGCATTTGTTATTACCGTATAGCAATGTAACTTTCCATGGTAGACTCAGTGGAGTTTTCATGGGAGTCAGGACGGGGTGATGGTACATGGTGCAGGGGAGGTGAAATGTAGGGTAGGACTTTGTTTGGTAGATGGGATTAGGGTCAAGAGGACATGTATGCCCCTCCCCCTCTCTCTCTCTCTCTCTCTCTCTCTGCCTGGGTGTGCTTGTGCATATCTTGACAATCCATTACATTCAGCTATCAATCACTTAATGAACAATGAACGGTATCAGTCAATCAGTCAATCAATTAATCAATCAAGCATTCAATCACCATTCAGTATTTCAATCAATTTAATCATTCAATCATAATTAATCAATAACTCAGTCAATCACTCAATCTATCAACCAACCAACCAGTCATTTTAGCACTTGAGTTTCTGTAATGGTAAATGGGTAACCTTAAGAATAAGTAGCCAACATCTGTGATATTCCTCTTTTCAACAAACCGTATTTGAATAATCAATTTACAATAATTTTACATTATCCCCAACTGGTTATTAAGTGAATCAATGAGATGTTCAACTAATCTTACAATAACTGAAATGTGGGGTGAATGTTTTTATTCAAAGTCAAAGATGTAAAAAATAACAGTTTGTAAGATGGAAATTACAACATGTACCATCACCCCATCCTGACTCCCATAAACACACCACTGAGTCTAACAGGGAAAGTTAGAATCCTACAATAAAAAATAAAATTCCTGTTCACTCATGCATAAAATTTTGGTTTTATAAACCATGTAATTCACTCAGCAAATCATGAATGTATCATATCACCCTCGATTTTGTAAGCACCAAAGGATTTACCTCTCACAAATTGGAAGGCTAATTCCTGCGCAACCTAATTTTCATACCCTTTACAAAAGTGAGCAGTGCTCACCCAAGCATGAATTATTTTCAAACTTTTTGGTGTCATATGAAAGCTGAGTTTATGAGCTTTCCATACATATAAAAATTGTCCCCCAGAATCATATATTTTTTTATTCGGCGGCCATATCAAAAGTGTATAGTTTTTTTTGGGACGCACTGTATAGTGAGCAAGTGTGCTCGCACATACATTATCATAGCCATGAATATAAACAAAACATATATGGAGGACAATTATGTGCTTCTTAAAGAAAGTGTTCATTATTGTATCCCGCATGTACACAATATAAATGTTATTGGCCTCTTAACAACGGGAGTGAACGTAAGCTCATATTCTACTGATTTAGAAAAACCCAACTTGTTGTTTTTAGAAAGGGCAAACTAAGACTGCGGTGTTACTTAGTATTGTATTATAAAATCGAATTATAATCAGCGCTTAACACAACGTCGAGTTACAATTTTAATCGTCATCTTCATTACACATTATTATATACTACAATGCAAGCAGCCCTTCATTGGGTGCAAAATTGAACTTATCAGGGTCAACTCTTAGATGCTGCACCCACAAATATATGTTCCAGGTTATACCTTCCTTACACAGGGGGGAAATTTCCAGCACTTAAGGTTCCCACTGTCGCCCTTTATCGTTTGCCGCTTTTACACATTTTTGGTGTGCCAATTTGAGCCTCTGTGGCGTTGCAATCTTTAAATATACACAATTACTCTCCTGCACCCCCTCTCTTATTCACACCAGCATCTACGCCAGTAAAGTATAAAATAAAAGAGGAACGTTAAAACTGAAGAAACTAATAGTACGCTGTATAAAACTTGTTTACTTAAATCTACCATATCTTGACGATCTGTGGGTGTTTGCATCAGTGTTGAGTTGAGTAGTGAATCGGAAACGAACTTACTGCCAGTCGCTGCCGCAGGGTCAAGAGATGGCGTTATACCTATTACTGGTGAGGTTACAGTTGGGCAAGGATCTGTGTTATTGAGGATGGTATCATTCTCAGGGTCCCATCCCCAATCTTTACACGCACATCTATACTTGGTTTGTTCTATGATAGAAGAACAACAATACAAAGGATCCGACTGTCTGACAAGCAATTTCTGCTTGATGATCTTGCCATTTCTTCTCGGCTCGTGCAACGGCGGTATCTTCAAGCCACTTTGAAAACACACAATCTGTCCTGGTGTACTCCCTGCCGAGGCTGTGCAAAGCAGTCTGACCCATTCCCTGTGGTACTTGCTTCTTGGTTCACAGGATGCCTTACCGGGAGGGAAATCAACATTCAACCGAATTCTTACATCCTCTGGTAGCGTTTGACCCTTTCTGTATGAACTAAGAACATAAGTACCTGCATCTTCTCTGGTAACATGATTGATGGTGAGATGGAGAATGCAATTGGCAAGTCCCGTGTCCTTTTTATTCGTTACTAGATACCTCCGATGCAATGGCGTTGCTTCTGGATTATCATTAGCTGAACTATACAATTGAAATCTATGTCCTTTACATAGCATGACTTCCGAGTTTTCGCATGGATATTGGAAATTGAGACCTACATTTTCTCCTTCTTTGACTCGAATCGCAGCAGAACCAGGTATGGTAAGTATCGCCATTGCAACTATGACAGGAACGATATTAATTGTACCCATTGTAATTATAAGTTTGATTATTGCAGTTTCAAAGTTGACACATCAACTGTGGCAAATAAGAATAAAGACCCGAATAGACGTTGTGATCTGATTCTTTCTACTTTGTTGTTCAAAATTGAAATTAGTTTTGGAGATCATCCACAAACATCGTAATGCAACGTTTGGCTTCATATGGCCAAGGTCTCATTTAAAATTGACAGGCGAATTGACAGGCTGTACACTCTCAATGATTCTTCAGACAGAAGGAATGTCCTGTTGTTAATTGACTAATGCATTATCTGCGTAGACCGAACGAAGCGAGCTTCTGTTGCCCTAAAGAAGAAGAAAAAAGAATCAATGGGAATTTCATAAAGTTAGCAATACAAATCAATTAACAAATAGACCAACTATAACGGTTCCGTCAACGTACAGCTTACTATCTCGTTATGTCTATCTGGATCTCTGCCGGGTTTTTTTTCTTCCTATCGCTTTTCCTCTCTCATTTTATACAACTAGGCATATATAGAATATGTAGAGATATGTCTTCGTGCTATACATTAATTTGTCAAAAAAGGTCTGGCAAAAAAAGAATTTATTGACATAATATCTTCATAGTTTGTGTACGAGGATCATCATGAGAACTGTTGAGGGGCGTCATATCGTAATACGCCATCTTGCGACGGCACTAGAGCTCCCATCGTGATATTCAATTGGAATTCTATGACAAGGTTCACTACTTTATTTATATATTTATTTAATTTTTGCGAACGAACGTTTAACATGACGCTTTCAAGTCATAGGTAGATAACAGGCAAGGAACACTAAAGAATTAGAGACGAAATAACGTAACCCGAATGCACTTACCATAGCGGCAATTCATGTTACAAAAGTTACAGCTACGACGAAAGAAACGTGTCTACTGAAAAACAATTGAGATTTCTACTTGATCATGATATACTATGTCGTAAATGTTTGCAAATTTATGTCATAAAAGTTGATTTTTACAACTGCCTCTGACCTTTGAACACATTGCCTCTTCCAAATTGTAAAGCCCATCGCTGCATTAAATGCTAAATGTTGACCTACTTGGACCCTAACCTCCACTGGCTATATTTTCCCCTCCTGATTGCAAAAAATGAAATTAAAGGGATGCTAATGATTATAGTTGACTATTCTGCTGATTTCGTAAACATAAGTTTCACCGCCAGTATCTGTACAAAAGGCCTCCATAATGTTAGGGAGCCAGCAACAGAGATTCATGATGTTATCTCTTCGTGTTATGCTTAATCATTCCATTTTTGCGTTGCTGATACCCTTCAACTGGGAAATAATTATACTTTTCTTACATTTGAATACGTAGATTACATATAGGTCTATATATTTGTTCTCAGAGCCAATACCATCACCAAGGTATTTGAATGACCCTGCCCCCTCCCCCACGCGCTCTCTCTCTCTCTCTCTCTCTCACCCACTCGCTCTCATTTTCGTATTCTTATTTATCTGTCCTTCTTACTTTCAATCTCCTGTCTCTCCTCTCAATTCTACAATTTTGGGACTTTTAAAACTAGTTATGCAATAAATGTATAGTTTTATCATGACTTTGAAAAGACCCAAGAACAGTGGTGTATCTAGGTAGCATAGTATGGCGCACGGGGCAAAAATGCAATTGACCCCCCCCCCCCAACAACAAAACGAGGGAGAAAAAGGTAGAATATATAATTTTTAACAATGATGAACGGTTTTCGCAATGTGTAAACTATAAACTTAATCTGGCTACGAGACAAATATATAGAAGAGCGCCCTCCGTTTATCTAATTGTATCATCAGTGAAGAGTTCACGAAGAGAAATATGTAAATAAATTGTATATGGCCACGAGACCTATAGCCGTAGGAGTAGGAGTACGAGGCGTTGTAAGCTTTATATATTAGGGACATTTAGATTTGCGTGGACTGATACGTGTGACGTCCATTTAAGGCAGTGCATTAAAGGGACGTCGCTCGTAGCAATCCACGTTGTCGTTGTGCAAATCTAAAAGTCCCTAATATAATGACTGAGGTAATACGTACAAAAAGGGACTAAACATATATATTTTCGTAAATCTATTTTTTAGGAGAATTGAAAAGATAGCTTATTATATTAAATGTGGATATGATTTAAGCAGAACCAAACATAAAAGAAGACATAATTATTTATTTCAATAAATATTCTCGAGGACAACGATATCTTATCCCATATCAATTTCCTTCCTTCAAACACAGTGACATTTTGGTTCGCTATAACAAGGGCCTACATCATGTATATTTTAATATTCAAATAGATATTGCTTGAATATGGGAACCATGATGTCCAGAGTGCAATAGATTTTAATGTTCAATTAAATAATTTGTGTTAGATCATATGATTATCGTCATCATCGGATAATGTCAAAGTAAAAGGTGATAAAGGGATATACGAATCTAAATCCTTGCGTAGATCAACTACAGATTATTCGATGACCTATAGAGATTGGAAATTACCTCTGTTTAGGATGAAATACCCCAGAGTATATCAGTACACTTTCTAAAACTCAGGCGATTATTGAGGACCCCGCCCCCATCTCCACCTCAAATAGGTATTTTTATAAATGTGTACTTTTATTTCTATCCATCGGTTCCAGAGGAATTTAAGTTGTTTGTCCGACATAAGATTATCACATCTTTACACAATTTACCCTCGATATATCTTTTCCATCAATATTGAAGTTTTCCTTCACCAAAGCTCAAAGGAATTACACCGCCAGATTATTCAACAAAACGCATAATCACATGTCAGATAGTAAATGCGAAAGAGTAGGGCATAGAAAACTGGGGAAGGGGCCGTTTTATTTGACCAACTGACCATGAGTCATGCATATTCATGACCAGCTTTTGTTGTTAATTTAATGAATGGAATGGGGTAGAAAAGAGTAGTATTTTCAACGATGTGCAGTGAAGCGAGTATCACCATCCTGGTATACTAATGTATATACACCTTTCAACGCACCAGAGATCGGGAGAGCGCCACTCAATTGAAACAGTGCGTCCATACTCGCGTGTAGCGGAGAAATTACCGTTAGATCATAGTAGACCACCATCCGATCGGGTCAATACTAGTCGCCTGGCGTCGCCGAGCAGTACACTCCAAGTGCTGTTAGTATAGTATCTATCAGCTCCTCGTATAGTTTCTTACTGGAAGAGAGGCTGAAAATAGTCATCAATAACCATGGAAACGACGAATGAGCCAACTAATAATAACATCGCCGTCTTGAATTGGATAGACATTGTGGTGATCGTTGCCTATTTCGTCTTCGTCATGTTAGTCGGAGTATGGGTAAGTCCGTACACCATTGCTTGGTTGAATGGGTCCCGGTTTTTTTGTTATTATATGTTTTGTCACTTTGTGAGTAGAGTGTATTCATCGGGGCGCGCACACTATTTATTTAGTCTCATATTTCTTCCACTCAATTACATCATAGAACACTCGATATATTTTTAGAATATTCCATTTGCCTTTCGCATGTCCATTTGGTGATAATCTTTCAATATATTTTGGATTGATTATAATTCCATTTTATGATTTTATTGGTTATATTTTCTCACGAAAAGGGTCGAGAGTGCAATATTATCAAACGATGAAAAGTTATTTTCGCTCAAAGCTCTTGTGTAAAATAATGTCCATCATTAATTCTTTATCTATTTGGATATATTTCATGAGCAGCAACTTTTGTTGCGTGTGTATTGGCTTGCATGATCATGAGGAAGGCCTCTAGAATTTGTCAAGAAATTTGAAGATGCTTTAATGTTTAAGTTTTGGCTTGGCAGGTTTGGGTCCAAACAGAACGAAACTTGATCTCCACGCAACCATATATATAACACCATGATTAGATATGATACGAAGGAATAGGGAAACAACATCAGGAAATGTTAATAATTTTTGGGGGGACATTGCATTCAATGTGTTAAAATTGGGTGTGCATTTGAAATCAAGTATGCGGCTTTGATACGGTAATAGATTGAAGCTTTTTCTTAAATTCAATCAAACCTTGAAGTAATATTGTTGGAATCAGAATTAATTGTATCAAACTAATATAGACGTGGTTTGGTGTATCTCTTGTATAGTGACGCCAAATATTTGCATGTAATAATGATAATAATAATGATGATTATGATAATGATAATAATGATAATAATGATAATAATAATAATAATAATAATAATGACATATGCAATATGCGTTACTTTTCCGAAAAGTTTAGTGAGTAATAAGACCACACCAATTATCACAGATTAAATAAAAATGTCGGTGATGAAATATCTATACATATCCATTGCACCATTTGCAAGTTTGCAATGTGAATAGTTACAACTGCAGTCATATCCAACTCAACAATATAGTTCACCACAAAAAATGATTCAATAGAAAATATAAGTGCATCAGATTGGTTTGACTAGTTAGTCAGTGTTAAGATATCCAGCTTTTTGTATCACAACCACGTAAGTTGAAACGTCATCAAAGAAGTGAATAGAAAAGATTGCTTTAAAAAATGATTCCTCCGTGTGTATATTACGCAAAAATCTGTAAGATTTATGATAAAATTTCTTTTGGATTCATTATGAGTGAATTGTTCTCAGCATGCCTGGATAGCATGGCGTAAGCACGTGCTAGCTACAGAGGACTTCAGATGCTCTGCACTTATCATTTTGTGCTCCATTAACCGGTCGATTTTCTTTATGAATGGTGAGAAGAAAAAAATCATTTGTGGAAATTCCGGCTGTTCAGTTTTTTTGAGAAGCTTTGATAGATTCATTTGGGTGCCGAAAAGAATCAAAGCCGGTTGAAATCGGACATGCACCAGTGATTTAGAATCGAAAACAGGTGATAGCATCCCCCAAGCGCGTGTTTATGAAGTTATGATTATTATCAATGATGGGTCTCTCGGTACAATTACATCTTTTTCTATGAGTATGAATAATTGGCAAAGGCCTTTTAGAATTCAAGTTGCCAAAAGGCCTCATCTCATTGACAACATCAAGTGAGGTGTTTCCAGGCATGACCATGTGTGCACGAATTAAAATGTCACGTTGTATTCTAACGAGGGGCGTCATGATTCGTAGAGACCTAGATGATGGCAAATTAGTCCGACTTCTGCTAACTTCATGAACAAGGATGATGATTATGATGATAATGATAATAATATTTATAACAACAGCTACAACAGCAACAACAATAATAATAATAAAAGCAACAACAAAAATAACAACAGGTAAAAAATAGAATAGATAAGTAAATATTAAAGTAGTAGAAGTAGCAGTAGTATTAGTAGTAGTAGTGGTCGTAGTACTAGTAGTATAAATAGTAATTGTGGTAGTAAATTATTATTATTAGTAGTAGTAGAAGTAGTAGTAGTAGTAGCAGTAGTATATTTTTAAAAAAAGTCATAGGTAGATGATGTTATGCCACTGTACTATTTAGTCACAATATGCGGGTAGGGTACAGACAGAACAATTGAATTTTGATATAAAAGGAATATACTCTGTCTTCTTTTCGAGGTACTGGTTATAACTATGGGGCTCAGTGACTCCAATAGTACCGTTTGCTTCGAGACTGCGCCCCTCAGCAAATGGTACTATTGGAGTCACCTCGATCATGCCCATAATTTTAACCAGAACCTCTCAAGTATTATATCTTCAACACTTGTTCTATTTGTACTCTACCCGCATTTTGTGACTAAATAGTACAGTGGCTAAATAGTACAGTGCCATAACATCATCTACTTATGGCTATGGCTACATGAAATATAAGATAAGTCTACAATTAAGAGCCGAAATCGAGACACGGACGAACGGGCGACTTAGATCAATGGATCTATTCATGATTATTTCCAACACAACTCTTTCAATTCGATACGTGATGATACAAAAACTGGTGACCACGATGGTAATTGTTCAAAATGCAAGTAATTGGAAAGAGTATACTGTTTATTCCTGGCTCCATTTTACCTAGAGGCGGTTTGGGGAGAGGGGGCGGACACTACCGCCCTGTGCCCCCTTAAAACTAATGTGACATCATCTTCAGTACACAATTCCGAAATTGTGCCGCACCTCTTTTTGTTTTTCTCTTGAAGTGATGACTTATTTTTATCGTTGTTGTTGATGCTGGCGGGGGTGTTGCTGTTGCTATTGATGTTGCTTTTTGACAAATTTTATGAAAGCTCTGCCCCCTCTATTACAAAATCCTGGATCCGCCCCTTATTGTACCATATATATCAACGACTGTTACATGTTGTGTATTGTTATGTTTTACTTGTATTGTTGTTGATTCTTTTTTTTTTAATCTTCCCCTTTTTCCTCAGTGAAACCATGTTGTAGTTCCTAGTTGGAGATGAAAATATGGTGAAGCGAGCCAGGTCAAACTTGTCCTGTGTATTAATAGCCTTATAGGACAGGAATGATTTTTAGGGCTACGCACTTATCGTTCCTCAATTTGAAAAGAGTCATATTTGTTTTCTTCTTTTTGAGGGGCTATATAGTTAAGATATATAATATCTGAAGACAATATGCATGGGTGGGAATGTTGGGAAAAAAGTTGGAAAATTTGCCAATATTGCTAGAAAAACAATGATTTTAAATTTCCGAATGTGTTGCAAACTTCAAGATTTTAAAGCTCGTGTTCCTTTTATAAATTTCTAGCATCTGACGCAATATAGTCATGAAAGAAAATATTGCTTTTCTACTCATGCATCTGGCATATTTTGTACGGCTCTAAATCAAAATGTATTGAGCCAAACCACAAATTGTGGAATGATCATTGTCGCGAAAGGGATAACTATGCTTTGATTGCAATTGACAAGGGGAAGTCCCTGCACATTTCCATGTCATGACCTGCATTCTGTGCTCCAAGTTGCACGTTTTGAGCATTATCTGTACTATGTACTCAGCATGATTTGTTGATGTTATAACATATGCATACAGCATGGAGACAAAGTGCATCAATACGACGAGATAGCAAGATATGATTACAGAAAGAAATTATATTATTCTTCTTAGCAGCCGTAGTTGTTATTATTGCTCTTTTGATTTATTGTGTTTTCTTTTGTTTTCTTTTGTTTTCTCTTCTTTTGTTGTTTGTTTGTATGATGTTGAGTTCATCTCTTTGCACATTATACAGAGTGGTCCATTTGTATTAAAAAGATAATGTTATTTGGCCTAGATCACTACTGCCATGACTGCTGTGTCATATTAACATTACACCTGCTCGGAATGTTCTTATTCTGATCTGTTTTGAAATTTAAGAGGTTTTTTAAAAATACTTATACGGGTGGATTTTTATGCAAGCCCCAAGCCTAAAAGTTGTTTCTCATGAATTGCATGAGCTTCATTTTAGTCTTGGGATATCATTATTCGGAGGGTACATTATAATAGCACAGATCATAAATAATAACAATTAATATTCGGCTTTTATATAGCGCTTAATACATCAACGATGTGTCTAAGCACTTTACAGATATATATTATATTATAGTAGCCCCCCCCCCCCCCACACACAAACACACACACGATGATATGCCTTGAGTTTGCTAGAAATGAGTATATGAAATACTGTATCTATGATCTAAATATTATTATATTCACTTTGCATTACCTTTGTAAACAAATACTTCTCGTGATTGTACAAACCGAATATGGAAATTTAAATATTATGATATAGATGAATAAATGTACAATGAATTATGCTAGCTTGAAGTAATTGATTACAGATCACATTTCAAAATAGTAAATTATCATACATTTCTACTATTAAGCAAGCTACCACTTAAGTAAAAATCACTGATAATAGTAACACAAAATGGCTTCAGTTACTTCTGTTATGAAGCAGTTACAAAACACAAGCTGGGATAATCCGCAAAGAAGATGTAGAACAATCTTTTACGCGTTTGTATATCTATATGATTAATATTTACTTAAATCTTAGATGATGATAAAAAGGGATATAATATGTACCCTGGCACAATATAATGTATTTATTTAAACAAACCTTCGCTCCTGCAATTTGACCCGAGTATATCCATTCCGCGTCAGTTTTTGGTCCAAAGTTTAAAACTTCGAACTACTTAAAGGTGATACAAAGTTTTGGTATGGGATGATGAATTTGGTTCAAATGAACATATTGGAAGCATATGCGATCCTACAATATGCAGTGATCGTTGTCGAGGTCGAAATCGACTCTAAATTTATGAAATTGTAAATAATAAACACTTTATGTTGTATAGCTCCCTCTCAATGTCAAGATATTAATTAAGCTATAAAACAATGTATCTTGACTAAAATCGA